CAAGAAGATTGGTGACTTCAGTTTCACCTAAACCTGTCTCTGGTGTACTTTTCCTGAATTTTTGTGTGGACAGAATTTTTTTGCTGATCATATTTTTAGTGATTCCTATGGAATAGTAATTTTCTTTGGGCAGCACCCTCTAGTGTCCAGAAGCTCTACTCTCTGGATCTGCTTGGCACCTGGAGCAATAACAGGGGTTGCAGGCAAGTTGTACTGGTGCCTACCCAGGGGAAAGAGCTCTTTCTGGTTTCTGGCCACAGTGCTTGACTCCACTGTCAGGGCCAGTGGGCTGAGCACACAGGAAGGGGCCTCTGTGTTATGCCCTTATAGCTGCTGTAGGTGGGGGCACCCTCTGGCTGGCCTCACACAGTGGCAGGTGCAGCAGGTTTGTGAGCCAGTGCCTGCAGGGAGGAGGGAGTGGCAGGTTGAATATTGCAGGGGGAGCCTTGGCGCTGTATTGCCAGCCAGGGGGATGAATCACCTGAAGCTCCTGAAAGTTCCCAACTGCTGGGCTGAGTGTGCTGGCATGATTTTGTTCACCTGTTCTTTCTCCTGAGCAGCAAGTTCTGTGTAATCCTTGTCCCTGTAGCATCCCTCTCGCTGTTGGGAAGTCTTTCAAAGTACCTGCCTTTCTTTTGTTCCAGGGTGGCCAGTTGTGCAAATCTGTTCTCCACAAGCAGTTGTATTCTCAGTTTCTTGAAGTATTCCCTGTCTTTGCTTTCCAACCCCACTAATCTCCAGAGCACCATGTAATGTGTGTTTGTGCTCCTGGAGAGGGCTGGGTGTTCAGCAGTCCTGAGCTTCTACTCCTTTCCCACTCCGTTTCTCTTTCTCCTACCTGTGGGCTGGGGCTGGGGAAGGTTTGGGTCCTGCCAGATCACAGCTTTGCCTCCTTATCATTTTCTGTGTGGTCTTCTCTTTTCCCCAAGGTGTAGGCACTGTGTTCTGTACTCTTCTGGTCACTCTTTCAGGATTAGTTGTATTTGCTGTATTTTTGTGTTATATGCGGTTTTGGGAGGAGGTTTATGTCTCATTTCTCATGCTGCCTCTTTCTCCCTACCTGCCCCTTCTTTCTTTAACACTAAGCTTCCAGGGAATATCTTCCTGTTCCAAGGTAACTCCCTGTCTCCCAAAAAGCACATCTTAGTAAGATCTCTGATCCATACTTGCCAGACCCCTTCCCATGATCTTCTGATTGGCCAGCGCTCTGATCTACCAGGTGTTAGACCTGATCTCAGTATTTCCTCACTCAGAATATAAAATTCTATTTTATATTATAGATATTCTGCTACCCTCCTCAGTTATATCCTGACATCTTTTTGATGTTATGGACTTTGGAACTAACACTGCTAACTTGGGATGTTTATTTTCTTGCTCTTACAGAAGTTGAAGTTTGTTATCCTTCTAGTTTTCTCATTAGCTTGCATTATGGGTGATTCTTCTTTCTTTTTTTAAATCATACAGGGATCTTATTGGGGGATGTGTGAAGATATTAGGACAGGGAGTTCACAAACTGAACCTGTGGACCAACTTCAGCCACATTTAGCCTCTAGCCTGTGTGAGCTAAGAATATTTTGCACATTATAAGGGTTATAAAAATAGAAGAACATGTCTTAGAGACTGTATATAGCCCATAAAGCCTAAAATATTTTCTCTGTGGCCCTTTACAGAGAACGTTTTTTGACCCCTGGTTTAGGATATAGCCATCATTATCTAACAGAAAACCTATAATAATTTTTTAAGCTACAAAAAGAAGTGTTTTATGACCAAATGCACAGATGACTTTGGACTTGAGTTTGTGCTTCACTAACCTTATCATTTTCCACGGGGACATCTTTGCATATTTTGCCCCTAACAAGCATTATATAATTAGAAACATCTTTGTGGAATGATAATGTTTTTTTAATTTTTATTTTGATATCATTAATGTACAATTACTTGAACAACATTATGTTTACCAGACTCCCTTATTATCAGGTACCCCCCACATACTCCATTACAGTTACTGTCCATCAGTGTAGTAAGATGCTATTGAATCCCTACTTGTCTTCTGTGTATATACTGCCTTTCCCATGTCCCCCCCAGTACATTATCTGTGCTAATCGTAATGCCCCATTTTCCCCCTTATCTCTCCCTTCCAACCCACCCTCCCCAGTCCCTTTCCCTTTGGTAACTGTTAGTCCATTCTTGGGTTCTGTGAATCTGCTGCTGTTTTGTTCCTTCAGTTTTTGCTTTGTTGTTATACTCCACAGATAAGTGAAATCATTTGATATTTGTCTTTCTCTGCCCGGCTTATTTCAGTAAGCATAATACCCTCTAGCTCCATCCATGTTGTTACAAATGGTAGGATTTGTTTTCTTCTTATGACTGAATAATATTCCATTGTGTATTTGTACCACATCTTCTTTATCCATTCATCTACTGATGGACACTTAGGTTGCTTCCATTTCTTGGCTATTGTAAGTAGTGCTGGGATAAACATAGGAGTGCATATGTCTTTTTCAAACTGGGCTTCTGCATTCTTAGGGTAAATTCCTAGAAGTGGAATTCCTGGGTCAAATGGTATTTCTATTTTGAGCTTTTTGAGGAACCTCCATACTGTTTTCCACAATGGTTGAACTAATTTACATTCCCACCAGCAGTGTAGGAGGGTTCCCCTTTCTCCACATCCTCATCAACATTTGTTGTTGTTTGTCTTTTGGATGTTGGCCATCCTAACTGGTGTGAGGTGATATCTCATTGTGGTTTTAATTTGCATTTCTCTGATGATTAGCAGTGTGGAGCATCTTTTCATGTGCCTGTTGACCACCTGAATTTCTTCTTTGGAGAAGTGTCTGTTCAACTCCTCTGCCCATTTTTTAATTGGTTTACTTGCTTTTTGTTTGTTGAGGTGCATGAGCTCTTTATATAATTTGGATGTCAACCCTTATCAGATATGTCATTTACGAATATATTCTCCCATACTGTAGGATCTCTTTTTGTTCTACTGATGGTATCCTTTGCTGTACAGAAGCCTTTTAGTTTGATGTAGTTCCACTTGTTCATTTTTGCTTTTGTTTCCCTTGCCCGGGGAGATATATTCATGAAGAAGTTGCCCATGTTAATGTCCAATAGATTTTTGCCTATATTTTTTTCTAAGAGTTTTATGGTTTCATGACTTACATTCAGGTCTTTGATCCATTTTGAGTTTAGACAATAATCCAGTGTACGGGGTTAGACAATAATCCATTTTCATTCTCTTACATGTAGCTGTCCAGTTTTGCCAACACCAGCTGTTGAAGAGGCTGTCATTTCCCCATTATATATTCATTGCTATGGAATGGTAATGTTTTAACAATGATGTGCCATTTTGGTGGCAGCTGTTAATTGTAACCAAAGTATGTCATTATGTATATCATATTCTTTCTGTATATCACTACTGAATTATGTTTACAGAAGTAAACTTTCAGTATCTATTTCAAAGCAGTGAATCCATGCTGCGAAATGGAAAATGGACAAAGATGTTTTTTTACCTGCTGTCACTGCTGTTGCTTTTAAATACATGTTAATTCTCTGTAATTTGGTATTTTAGTTGACTAGCACTTGTATTAAATAGTACCTTCTGTGACATCTCACTTTAGCAGGTTAGGGTGGGGCTATGCCTTTGTGTAAGTGTGTGCATGTTTGTTCTCATAAATCTGAAGATAGAACTGAGAGACCTGCTAGTCCATCTCTTTGCCTTCATGCAGGGTCATATATAATCCACTTAAACATCAAAATATCTTCGGTTTGAGCTTTCCAGATTAAGAGTTCCTATTGTTTCCTTGGTAACTTATTTTAGCATTTCTCAACTAAGGGGTAGCAAAGCAGTCTAGCTGAAGAGAAAGTTAAAAAAAAAAGGGTTTCTTTTTCTCTGTAATTAGCAAATCAGCAATCATTTGTTTAAAACACTTAACTGTGTCAGACAGGAGAAGGAAAGGAAGGGCAAGCTAAGGAGAAGAGCATGAGCAAAGATAATTTTGAGAAGTTGGGGAAGTTCAGGGACCATTTAGGGAATATTCTGGTTTGATTGTAACCATGACATAGTCTTGAAAATTCATGGCTATGAAATTCCTTTTTCTTTTTAATCTGTTGGGATAGTATGTAGTCATATTTTCTTGTTTTAGAAAATAAGCAGTAAATTATTGCTATGTGGATTTAAACATTTCTAAGAGCCAAATGTGCTAAGTGATAACCACAGGAAAGATCTTCAAGTCTTTCATTATTATTACTGATCAATAAATACCTTCATTTCCATTTTTTGATAGTGAATACAATTTTAGTTCCTTCGTATATACATCCTATAAGTACTAGGTATTTTCAGCATCTGTTACTGTTATTTAGTTCGGTGCATGGTCTATTCAAAATATATTTGGCAGGGACATAAAATAAATGTGCTGTACTTGGCAGTGTTTTGAAATAGTATACCTATTCCTTATATGTAGCCTTGAGGATTTTCACATTTTGACTGTTTGCCACAACAGTTTTTAAAAAATGTCTTTCTCTGAACATCATTTTTCTTTAGTTGTCATAGAAATCATGAACATTATTTTTAATGACAGTTAAAAAACTGTTTAGTTATTTTCAAATAGCGTAGATGGAATGATAGCTGAGGATGTAACATGTATCCTCTCAAACCCTTGCTCACAAATTGCTTCTTGCTATTAGTGTTCTTTCTTTTTCATTGCCTACAGACTTTGCCTTCCTTTCTTGAATCACTTCTTGGTTGTATGATAATCGTTATATTTTTATAGATTTATCTGTTTTTAAATCCTTGCTATAGCATAGCTATAATGAAACCCTATAGCTTTCTATTTAACTCACTAAAAGTCATGTACCACTAAAGGTGTATACGGAAAAACCTGATGAGGAATGGCTGTTATCTTATTTGGAATTTACCTATTAACAAGAATTTAATATCTTGTGTCCTCATAAATTTTGCAAGTAACAGTTATTTTTTAAAATTTCTTTCTCTCTTTTAGACTTTTGAAGATTTTAAAAATGACAAGCAAGCTGTAGAATATCAACAACGAATTGTGGATATTTTATTGAAAGTAAGTATTCAAAGAACACATGTTTGTATTGATGCTTACAGTAATCAAGTGGAATTGTTCTTTCAGAAGTTCTAAAATAATCTGCTTAATGAAGTAATATGTTGCAATCATTTAAAATTTTTATTATGTCTTTGTCTTCAAAAGCTGAATGAAATACTAATCATTCATTCAAAAAATGTTATGTATCCAGCTATAGACTAGATGCTAGGATGCAGGGTACTGTTCTTGAGAAATACATATTATGACAATTGCTTTATTAGTATGATTACAAGTAATAATAGAGACTAACTTCAGAGTGCTTTGAGAAAATTATTCATGTGAAGAATCTCATTCTGTCTCATACCAACATCACTGTGTTGCTAAGTTAGTGCCATAGTTTTACTATGGCCCTGAGATGATGGGTGACACTTGGAAATGATCTGAGGCTCACAGAGTTGATCATCCCAATCTAAGTAGATGCAGTACAAAGCCATTTTGAGATTAGTGCTGTTGCTAATGAATGAATACAGAGACAGATTCTTTTCCTTTTCAATTGCATAGCTTCAGTGAGGCCAGTTTCTTTTTGTAGTTAAAAGCTTAACATTTTTGTCCTCTGCATTTGACTATAAAACAGAGATTTCTGCCTCTTGGTTACTTGCAGATTATTTTGAACAACAAAATTAAAATTTTCTCTAGTTGGGTATTAATGCATTATATTTGTAATAGTTCCTTATAATTTACAAAGCACGTTTACATGCATTATTTCATTTGAGCTACTTACTGACCTTCTAAGATAGGCAGTGATAAATATAAGAACAGGATTGCTAAGCTCCCAAATAATGCCAGTTGATCCAGGTAGATCAAGCAATAGTGTAATTGTGACGAGAATTTATTTTTCTCATACAAAACTGGAGGTAGGCAACTGATCTTATAGCGTGACTTCACAAACTTATCAGGGATGCAGATTTCTTCTGTCTGACTGCTGTTATTCTCAGTACATGGTTTCTTGGTCCAAAATGGCTATTCAGGCTCTAGCCATCACCTCTGCATTCTAGCCAACCCAAATGCAAAAAATGTTCCCTCTCCTTAAGAAAACTTCCTAGAAATTGTGAACTACAAATTCTGTTTATATCATATTGATCAGAACCTAGATATATGGCCCTTTAGCTGCTAAGAGAGACTGAGAAATGTGCTCTGTGACCATGCGTTTAGCTAAAAATGAGGAGTTTGGGTTCTAAGTTAGGAGAGAACGGATATTGGAGCACAAGTACCAATTTCTGCCTTACCCATCTAAACTGTTTAACATTGACTCCCAATATCCTTCCAAACTTTCTGGTCCCTGACTACTTCTCTATAACCACTTCCTTCTCCTGTCCCACCCCTCCCCAAACACCCACACTGTATAAGGAACTCTTTAACTGTATTAAATTATTGGAATTCATGGAACTTTCTGTGTTGTACTTATGATGTATGTCCTTTGCATGAGTTTTCTTTCATCCTGTTATGACTTTTCTTTCCTTTCCTCTGCCTGTCAAATTTCTAACCATTTTCTAAGATGTAACTCAAATATCATCCACGAGAAACTCTTAGAACCTCTCCCACACTTCCAGTTTAATTAATTGCCTCTTCTCTGTGTTCATACACTGCTTTATACTACACTTGGCACACTGTATGGTAATTGTTTACCCATGTATTTTCTTGCCTGGACTTGAGCTTCTTGTAGGTAGAGACTTGTGAGGAATTGTGGGTTTTGTCATTGTTTTAACATGCCCAGAACATGTCCAGCACAAGGCCTGTGACCTAGTTGATGTTCAAGAAATGTTTACAAGTTGATTGAACTGGAATTGAAATTTAAGTCTGTACTAAGTTGGAAGAATGATACAAATGAAGACAGTAAAGCTCCATAAAGTACTTAAATTATTACTGTTGGTGAATTGCTACTCTTGTATGTTGGTTTGATAGCATTTACCTCGGATCAATGAAGAATGAACTTTTGAGATTATTTTCTCATTTCTTTTGATAGAATTGCACTAAGTGTACTTCTCAGGGAGCCAGTGAAAGTAAGAATATAGGCAAAGACCAGAGAACAGATGAATGAACATCAAACCAAACATTATGTGTGCTGAGTGGCTGCAGACATAGAGGGGGAAAAACTGTTCATTTGTGACTTTGTGTAAGACTGCTCAGGAAATTTTGTGAATATGATCTCTGAAATGGAGAGAAACTAGAATTTTGGGATGATAGTCAGTTACATACTTGCTGAGGTGGCAAGGGGATTGCCTGTGAGAACTGTTTTCTCAAAAGATGCTTCTAGGATCAGACAGTTAGGGAGTTTACACTCAGAGGCAAAAGGAAGGGCTGAAAGTAGAGCAGCACTAGCTGGGCCCCAAGAGTTGAGTCCTAAGAAAGGGCCTGTTCACTGACAAGGGAGTGATGTAAGTTTGGTAAGGCTGTAGAAAGCTCTTTGAATATTATAAATTGGAATTTAGATGCATACATACAGAGATTGAAACTTGAAATATCCTCATACTCCAGCAATGATTCATTATGCATTTGAGCAAGCTGTGATTGCTGGACTAAAAGCAGGAAGAATTAAAGAAAACTAAAGTAAGAAAAGTTAGCTAAGTACATTTACTGCTAGTAAAGTAAGAAAGGGTAGGCTAAAAGCTAGGCCCCAAGGGAAGTTTTATAATAGAAGAAGTCTTATACTTTACCTTCAAGTGGAGAACGTGAGGAGGGAAGCTAGGATTTCTGATAGGTGAGACAGGGTGCTACACCCTATTGTTGTAGAGAGCTGCCTCCATAAATTCAGCTCATCTAACAGAATACCTGATCTTCCTTCCCAAACTGATGTATTTTCTTTGTTAACAGCATCATTATCCTACCTACTTGTCAGGCTCAAAATCTGTCTTTTTTAATTCCTCCTTTAGCCACATGTTTCCACACACATAGCTACTTGCCCTGTCTCCCTTCTCTGTTCCTGCTGCCGCTTTCATTATCACTGCCCTGGTCCCCAGCCCTTTGTCTCTCTCTCTCCCTGGGAGCCCTGCAGTCACATGCATTCCGTCTACCTCTTATTTCTTCCTTCTGTTATTTTATCTGTACACTGCTGGCAGCATAATTTTCCTAAGCACAGTACTGATCATCATCATCAGCTGTCCTGGTTGAACACTCAGTTTTCTATGGTAAAAATGTTAAGTTTCTTAGACTGACATTTGAAGCCTAATCTTTTCTTTCAATCTAATTTCTCCCTCCTCCTCATACATGCTGCTGCATTCCAGTGAAACAGTTTCTTCAAACAAACTTGCATTTTCTGTTGTCCATGTTCCCTCTCCACCCAGCTGAACTGAATTTTTCCCACTGTGCTTCCACCATCATTCGCTCCTCCCTAATAGTGCTGGTCACACTGTACCCTTTATTTAACGTTTGTTCTTCCTGTCCCACCTTGCTTTCTTGTTCTTCACTGCCTTGAAGCACCTTCCATACCATCCTTCACAAAGTGGGTACTTATGAGTTGAGAACTCACTTAAAGCAGAGGAAAGATTATGATATGGTAAGTATGTGTGGTTGTAAAAAACCTTCTTTATGAAACCATCTGTTCAGGAACTGTTTGTATACTGGGCAGAAGCTGTTCATGTCACTGATTTGTGGGCTAGCTGACTTCTTCTCTGGGATGCCTTCACTCAAATTATCTAACTTTAAAGCTCCAAATCAACTCCCTTCTTCCTGTGTTGTGCATACCTTTTTAATAAGATTACTTAGAATTTAATTTTAGTAGGATCTTCTTTTAAGAATCCCAGAGGGAAGCACAACTAGTATTTCTTTGAAACCTACCTCTCTAACAATTGAGTTCTCATCTGGGTTGTGCATAAAAATATGCTAAAAATCATTAAAATATTTTCCTTTCAGAGTATGCTCCTTCTTTAAATGATATTGAACTTAAGTGTTGCACAGTCAGTAAAAGAATAATTCATGAAAGCGAGTAAGGTTTCAGAAGGGAGATGCCAATTGTTTGTGGAACTATATAGGCTTTGTGGACATTTATAGACTTAATGTTGACTTTAAGGCAAGGGTAGCCAAAAAGGTTGATGAAAGAGCTATTTATGATGTCCAGGGCCCCAGGCTTCCTGCTCTCCCTGCCCCATTGCCCCATCTCCCCTTCTCTTCCCTTGTCCCAGTTCTCCAGGCCAGTCTTGACTCTTGGCCCATGATGGGGTCATCACTCCACTCTGACTACAGCAGCAGGATACCAGCCAGAGCCTGCCTCCCAAATACATCTCACTGTGATAATAAAATACGAAAAATTGCAAAAAAAAAAGTTCTGCCCAGACTTGGAGGGAAGAACTGAAAAACAGAAGAGACCAAAATAAAGCTATAGCAAAGAAAAAAAAAAAAGAATAATTCATGAGTCTTTTGTAATGAGGTTTTCCCCTTCCCCCACTGTATATTTTTCATGTCAAACCAGATGATGTTTTGAGTAAATGGTCTCTTTTGCTCATCAGGTAATGGTGGAGAATTCAGATTTTACTCCCTCACAAGTAGGGTGTCTCTTTACATTTCTTGCTCGGCAGCTTGCAAAACCTGACAATACCTTGTTTGTAAACAGAACTCTTTTTGATCAGGTGAGTGTGTTTAACTATGAGAGTTACAATTGTTTTTATTGTATTTACTGTTCATAGAAAAATTCACTAAGTACAAGGTTTCTTAATAAAATAGTCTATCAGATAAGTGTCTTACCAGGTCTGTTCAGGTTTCAGTTTGGATCTAAATTCAGTTGTTCAATTGGTTTTTTAATGGTGTCTGGGTAGTATGACTTGGCCTAGTAACTTGGTATCTTGGGAGTATATTTGTTGAGATGTTTTTATGGATATTCTGTTGCTCTAAATTGCTTAAAATTCTCCACTCAAAAATTACCCATTTTAAGAATCACCTATCTCACTGGTAGTAACACTATGATGTTGATCATCTAGAAGATAGATTACTTTTAAAAATTCTGAATTTACTTACAAATGACTTGGACTTTGAAGGTCAATAATTGGGATCTACCAATCCCAGGTGAATATCTCCTATCTATCCACAGGTGGCAAAAAAAAAAACTTTTTATATGGAGAAAGTTGATAATAATGACTAGCATTTATTGAGCACTTCTAGTGCCAGACTCTGTTCCAAAGTTTTATATGTATATATTAACTCAGTGCTTCCAATAGCTCTGAAATTGGTAAAATTATTACTCCCATTTTGCACATGAGGAAACTAAAACCTGGAGAGGTTAAGTCACTCATCCGAGGTCATAGTTAATGTATGTTGTTATTAGCAATGAAAGTTTTATTACCTGTTAATAAGCTTAAGATTCAAATTCAGGTGTCCTGGCTCCAAAATCCATGCTTTCTTAGTCCTTGATATGAGGGATCTTAAAATTAAGTATGCAGATGATGCTGTCCTCTAGTCATGCTTCTGGACAGTAAAAAAATGTTGTAAGGTACATAGTAAATTGTTAGGCTGCCTGAGCCTGCTGTGCCGTAAACTAGGCCAGTGAGTTGGGAAGGCACCGTATACCTGTGGTGTTTGTTATGACTGAGTGTGGGTGAATTGGTGATACAGAAATGGTGGTTATTGCTGTTTTTGTTATGGCAGTGTTATGGCATGCATACTGGTATCTAATAAAAAAATACCTGTTCTCTGACCAGGTCCTTGAATTCCTCTGTAGTCCTGATGATGACTCCCGACACTCTGAAAGACAGCAGGTATGAGCTACTAGAACTCTTTTTGCTGAAGAATGGGAAAGAAGACAGAGTAAGCCAGAAAGAACTGTGTGGTAAATCTCAAGAGACATAAAGGAAAATGATTTGTGCCAAACCCCGATACTAAGCTAGGAGGTGGCAACAAGAAAATAGTGTGGATGGGTGTTAGAAGCACATATATAAAGGAGCTTATATCAAATTCATAGGCTGACAAATTCCTGAATTCCTAGGCTGACAAGACCTGTCTTGCATTCAACATGACATCAAAGAAAATACGTCTTCCTTCTCCATTATGTAGCACCAATTGACACCAGTTACATACTGCCTCCTACCAGTGTCATTAATCAGGTAACCACTCCTAGCTTCTATAGCCCTGAACCAGAAAGGGTTCAAGATCCTGAATATTGAGGACACTTAACTTTTGGCAGTGCCCAATAGCCCCAACTGCATTAGAGCTAACCATTTCTGAAAACTAGACTGCATCTGTCCCTCCACTAATCACACGTGAGATAGTAACTATTTGATTACCACCTAGTTATGGCATTTTCTTAGTCCTTTCTAGTAGTAGGATTCTTTAAAAGCTCACCCACTATAACTGTGGGCTCTAAAAGAGTCAAACCTGTTTAAAATTGATAGCCAAGACTTTTTCAGATCAGTAAGCGACAAAAACTAAGTACTTTGAGAGCTACACTAAGTTTTTTTATGGTAGTATTGCACAGCTGGGAGGTTGAAACTCAAATAAAGAACTTAGGATAGCAACAGTGACCCCTTTTCTGCACAGCTGTGGCCCAATGACTGCTGCTGACTATCGTAGGGAAGAGAACATGCTGAAATTTTGCTTATCTCTTAAATTATATTGAATACAAATAGTAGTGGACCCTTCATTTTGCTCTATTTCTCTATTGGCAAGAAAAGTGATATGTATGATATTGCTATATAAAATGATACAAAAACCTTTATATAAATAGCTAAACAGAATTTTTAAAAATCTAAATGTAACAGCCAGACCTTGAAAAGTAATCATAGTATAGTTATATTCTATTACTGGGAGTCTCCTTTCAGATTATCTAGTTTGATTTTTCTACTTGTTTAGAAACATAGAAAACTCATGAAGCAAGTTGCTCAAGGTCACAACTAAGATTAGAATCCAGTTCCTTCCCTTTTAATCTAGCACTCTTTTCCTCCTACCATTTGTTACATACCAGTTTGTTAATGCAACATTTTTTAGTATTTTCCAGTGGTAGACTGATGTAAGTTTAACAGCTGGCTCCCCAGGTGTGATTCTGGTATGAATGTTGATTGATATTTTTATTTATGTAAAATGAAGAAGGTGAAAGTGCAGCAATGAAAGCATGTCAGATATTCATTCATTCATCCATGAAGTGACTTCTTTGCTGAATCGAATAACAGTTTTTGAATACTAGAAAATTAATTCCTTAATTTTTTTGTGCTATTCTCAATGTAATGACTATGACATTCACACTTTTTAATTTGATTGGCTTGTTAACATTATCTCCATCACATTCTTTACAAGGAATCAGCAAATATTTTCTGTAAATATTTTAGGCTTTGTGGGCCACCTATTATCCCTGTCACACATTCTTTATTTTGCAACCTTAAAAATGTAACAAGGCCTGATTTACATCATTTGCCAATTTCTGTGGTATAAGTCCTTCCACCATGGCTGATTCAGCCTACCATGATGTCACTGAACACAAAATTGGGAAGAGACGCACAGTACCACACCCATATGTAGTATTTCCAACATACAGGTATAGTTGCAGTAAGTAACATCAAGAGTGTACATAATAAAATGTAGTAAAATAATTAGGATGTGGTGAGTTTCATGTAAAAATTACCTTTGTTTTTAATTTAAGTTTATATCATTTAATTTTTAACAATGGCTATGTTTAATAACCTGAAAATTTATTCCTAAAAATTTTATCAGCTCTGTTGAGTTAGTAAGACTGGCTCCAGTGATAACATTTCTATTACTTTATTCCAAATTGAGGATACCAGCACATGGGGTTCACTCCATAGCTGTTCTATGTAACTACATTGTAGTACTCAAAATGGCTTAAGCTAGGGTTCTGAAATGCAAAGTTTGGATAGGTGTCATTTCTTTTCTGCCTTTTTTTTTGAACTTGAAAGTAATAACATGTATTAGAAAAATGCTTTATAAAATGGTATCCTGGAGATCTGAAAAGGGTCGTGTTATTTTGGATCTTAAATATAGGAGAGAGCTTTCTCATATTGCTCTAATGACTATGTAATGATTTTATTGCAGTTTGAGGTTTGTTTAAAAATATTAATGAATCAGTATGAACATCCTAGTCACCTTTTTTCTTCAGGTACTTAGTGTGGTAAAAAATTAATTATAGGGACCCCAGTGTTTTTGTTTTTTATTATAGTAAAGTACACCATAAAATTTGTTATTTTGACCACTGTAAATGTACAGTTCAGTGGCATTAAGTATAGTCCTATTGTTCCTCAACCATCACCACTCTCCATCTCCCAAACTGAGACACTATGCACATTACACAGAACTCCCCGTAACTCCATTCCCAGCCCCTAGCAACTTCCATTCAATTTTCTGTCTGTATTAATTTGACTGCCTCAGGTACTACATATAAGTGGAATCATAAAGTATTTGTCCTTGTAGACAAATACCTTTTTCTGGCTTATTTTACTTAACACAATGTTATTAAGGTTCATCCATGTTGTACCATGTGTCAGAATTTCATTCCCTTTTCACCATATTTTGTCTATCCATTCACCCATTGGTGGACATTTGGGTTGTTTTCACCTTTAGGCTTCTATGAACTATGAAAATAAAACAGTGTTTAACGACAAAAAATCAACATGTAAATATGGATACTTTCTGTGAACAACAGATTTCACAGAACCGTAAGACATAAAAGCATCAGACAAAAATTCAGTCCTTAAAAGAATATATGTAGACATTTTTAGCATCATGGAGGGTCAATTACATGTTCTAATAAGGCTTTATTTTCAAAGATTGTGATATTCCTACCATGTTTGAAAAATAGAGCCATTTATCTTTTTATAAGACTTAAATACAATATGATCAACCTAGAATGGCAGACTAACTCCTTGTATGTGTGAAAGCCAAGCCAAAACATCAGCAAAGTAATAAGATAAAAGAAAAAACTTACGGTTTGTGTGGCTGAATGAACTCTTAAAGAACTCGTTGATAAAAGTAGATTCCAAAGTGTTTCACTCTTTTATTTTTAAATATTCAGGTCCTTTTAGAATTGCTGCAGGCTGGAGGCATAGTTCAGTTTGAAGAAAGTCGGCTCATTCGTATGGCAGAAAAAGCAGAGTTGTAAGTTGTTTTGAAACCATACATTCCCATAGAACTATTAAATTACATTTCTCTAACTTGAAGCCTAGTTTTTTTGATGTATTGCCATTTTTTTTAAACTAAGGAAAGCTGTGCCGATAACACCACTAACAACAAAAAACCTAAGTGTGAAAGTTTTTTGCCTTTCCAGTCTAGAAATAAGTAAAATTTGCAGAATTAACAGTGAGTAAATTTGCAATGTTTGTACATTTGTTTGGTATGAAAATGAAATACCAGTCTTATGATTTTAGTTTTCTTTAACTAAAATTTCCATGGTATTCCATAGATTTTTGACATTTGTAGATATTATACACAATGAAAAATTGAACATAGCAAATGAGATGCAATATGTTAGCACTATTATTTAGTTTGTTGAATATTTCATTTGACATGTTTAATTCTGAACAGAGGAACTTCACGCAATTATTGATATGTGATATACTATTTTATTTGACACATTGTTGCTTTAACATTTATTTTGTATCCAGCTTTGAAATTTCTTATAAATAGAGTATTTAGCAGCATCTTAAACATATATTTAGAGGAATGATACTTATCTCCCATAGATACTATGACTTCATTTAACAATAGAAATCATATCTACTGTATTCATTTTTCTTAATCTTAATCTCTCTGCTTGAGCAAACTTCTCAAAACAATAAGCTAATGACTACCTGTCTGTTCGGTGTACTGGTTTTTCCTTTTATGTTGTAGCTATCAAATTTGTGAGTTTATGTATGAACGAGAACACCAATATGACAAAATTATTGATTGCTACTTACGTGACCCACTAAGAGAGGTGAGCTAAGAGACTGCTTTACCCTTTTTTCTTACTCAGTTTCCCCCTCCTGAGTAGAAATAACTATGTAGTAAGTATAACATTCAGGAGAAATACTTGGACATGTGTTTGCTGATTCAAGGTTTTCTTCATTTATTCAACAGGTTTTTATTAAGTACCTACTATTATATAACCATATATTGATAATTAAAACAGATGTAGTTCCTGCAATTTTTGAACTTAGTTTAGTGATGAGACTAACAATAAGAAAACCAAATACATAATTGCAAATTGTGATGAGAATTGAGATCAGAAGAGAAACTGGGTGCAGCTTTAGAAGATAATGTGGGAAGTATCTTCTATAGAGCAGCCAGGGAAGGAATTTCAGAAGAAGTAACATATAAACTGAGCTTTGGAATTTGAGAAGAAACAAGGCAAGCAAAGAGCCAATAGAAAAGTGTCCTAGGATAGGGAACAGTATATGCAAAGGCCCGGTGGGGAAAATTGTTGACGTGTTCAAGGAACTGAGTAGAGATTGTGTGAATGAGGTGAAGATCAGCTTAAGTGGAGTATAACAGACAAGGGAAATAGTGATTTGAGATGAAAATTGGGAATGTGTACAGGGGCCACCAAAGACAAAAGTGTGATATTCACTTGTTACATTAATGAAAGTGAGACCAAAATTAACTGGAACAGAATGCAACTTCAAAGTGTCTACCTTAAACTTTAAAAATTTACTCTTTCTCTTTATTGTCAGTTTTCCCTAAGTTAACTATCTGCAAATGGTTTTCCATCTCCAAGTAACAGAAATTTACCAGCACTGGTACAAATAGTAGATAGTGACTAAATACTCCTTGAATGAATGAATGAGTAAATTTTATTGTCTTGTCCTTTTCAGGAAGAAGTCTTTAACTACATTCACAATATCTTATCCATTCCTGGACACAGTGCAGAGGAGAAGCAGTCTGTATGGCAAAAAGCAATGGATCATATTGAGGTGCTGACTCAATAAAACTTATTAAAATTTCCCTTTTGTATGGCTATCTTTCAGATTACATTTATGCTAACTAAGCAGTGGCAGGTGTCATTATTATTAAGTTTATTTACTTGATTATCCTACTTCATATTTGTATTCATAAAGCCCATGTCATAATTTATTATATCATGATTTCTTAAAATAATCTATGTCCAATGAGCTAGTTGACAAACTAGAATATTAGTGGGTTTTTCAATGTTCTTAGAATGATTCTGAGAGTACTACTGGTCTTTTTCCCTAATACACGATGGGAGCCATTCCCCCTAATCACCCAGTGGAATTTTAGAGACATTACTGCAATGAGTTGCTCTCTCTGATATACTTTCCTTCCTTATGTAACAGAAGGACGATTCTGATTTTGTTTGTGCATAATGTTTAAATGCAAGAGTTGACTTTGAAACAAAAAGTTCTTTTTAAAAAACATGCTTATAGATGGCTAAATGGAGAGACTTTACATGGGTTATGTAAATATGATCAGAATGCATTCTGTAAAGGGGCCTCCAGATCACTCCTCACTTTAGTTTTCTTATATTCATAACATACAATGTACTTTAGAAATCAACAGAGCTAGCAGGTTTGTTGAAATCTATTCTGTTTTATGGGTCATTGGTTATTAAAAAAAGAAGTGTCAAAAGATGCTGAGGTAATCCTATTTTGGAAATAACATATCTACAAACTTTCTTTATAGGCAGGACCAGGTGATGTGATGACTTCTGATGATGGGTTTAGAGATGCAGTGAAAGATATGATTATTCAACATGTTTTAAAATTTCTTTATACATATGGAAAGTGATAAAACTTTGAGAAAACATTGCATGTGATGTGAATACTTTGTTCTAATTCCTGATGGTTGTAAAGTTTAGAAAGATCAGAAATGTGGACAACATCTCATGTGAAACATCTGGTGTGAAACATGGTACAGTCAGACATCAGATACATGGTCTGAAGTCATTTCTATACTTTCATCTACAAGATTGAGAACATAGATATATTATTTAATGTTTTCATATTCCTGCTAACAATGAAATGAATATATCTTGGTAAAGAACCCAAGAAAACTTTCTCCTAGTTTGATTTAGATCTTTTTTCCTTTAATCATGTTGTATTCTTTTCCCTTTCATCATCCCCTTTAAGTGTCCATAGTTACATTATGGCTCATTCTTCATTTCATTTCATCTGCATTATGTATAGTTTTGAGCACATGGACTCCATCCAAAAATGAAGCTCTGTCTCTGAATAATGTGAAACGTGATGAATTAATCAATGACCAAAGAAATTACTCAGTAGAAAACTCATACTGGAGAAGCAAGAAATATTTTTGCTACACAAAAATTATTTCTGCTGTTTTTCCCACATCTGCACATTTTTTCACTTTGAATTTCTTAGTATCTCTTAAAACTACAATTACAAATATATAAACTTTTTGTTGAAAGATGTCTGTAGCTTCAGTAATGTAAATAAAATCAACATTAAATATGTAGGGAGAAAAGTTCTCATAATAAAGTTTTCTGACAGTAAACACAGTATATAGATTAGTGGTTCATAACACTTTAGGGGTTATAGACCTTTTGAGAATCTAATGAATAATCTGGACCTGTGCCTCATCATATTGTGCATATACAGACACACAATTTTGTTTGTAATTTCAAGGATCCACAGACCCCTTAAAAGCTGTTCTTAGTTTGGGTCTGTGGATTTCAGGTGAAGAATCTCTAGATGTGTTTTCCAATATGGACAAAACATCTTTCATTAAATTAAAAAAATTTTTTTTAATATAAAAAGTGTCCAAAGAAGTGCGTATAATAAATGTTCAGTTTAATAAAAAATTAAAAAGCAAGCATCTCAGGCCCAGATCAAGAAACAGAGTTACTTTCAGTACCCCAGACATTCCACATATCTTTTCCTGATCATAATCTCCTGTCTCCCCATTATCCTGGTTTTCTGATCATTTCTTGCCTTTCTATACACTGTTACTGCAAATGCCTGCACTCCTAAAATATATATATTTTTTACTTGGCCTGTTTCTGAACTTTATGTAAATGAAATTATACTCTATTTTTTTTCCTTAATATTTTGAGAAGTTTGTCCATTTTGTTGTATGTACCTGTGTTTCATTTTTATTGTTGTGTAGTATTCCATTTTACAAGTATATCATAGTTTACCCATTCTACTGTTAGTAGACATTTCCCCTGAGTCTAGTGTTTGACTATTAAAAATACTCCATCCATGATCATTCTTATATATGCATCTTAAGCACTGCTACATATATTTCTCTAGGGCAATAGATCTTGGTTGGAACCCTAGCCAGGATTACAGCATCAGCAGAGAACTTGATAGAAATGCAATTTCAGTCTTCACCTCAGACCCACTGAATCAGAAACTCTGTGGTTGGGCCCCAGCACTATGTTGTAACAAGCCCTCTGAGTGATTTTGATATATACAAATACTTGGATAATCTCTGCTTTAGGGTCTATAATTGGTACTTAATTGGGATAATTATCTTAAACTTCACCAGATGCCAGTATTGTATGAGATTTTCTATTGGCTTGATATCCTTGCTAGACTTTAGAATTTTTCCAGTCTAGTGGATGTGTAATGATATTTCATTATGTTTTAAATTTGTGTATCCTTAATTATAATGGCATTAATAATCTTTTCATATTTATTAGCCATTTAAATTTTTTTTCTTTGATGTGCCTATTCAACTATTTTGCCCATTTTTCTATTAGAATGTCTCTTGTATTTACTGATTTGTAGGAGTTCTTTATACTGGATGTTAGTCTTTTTTCAGTGATATATGTTGCAAATATCTTCTCCCACTCTGTGGCTTTTCTCTATGGTTCTTTGTAAGAAAAGTTTTTTTTTAAATAGTCAATCAGTTTTTCCTTGTATACTAAAGGAAAAAGTCCTCCTATGTTACTGTCTAAAAGCTTTCTTATGTTTTGTTTTGTTTTCATCTTTAAATCTTAGGTTAACCTGAAAGCAGTTTTTGTATATGGTGTGAGGTGTGTGCTGGGGATTGGTGGTGCAGGGGTGGGTCAAGTTTTTGAAATGCATATGCCCAATTTTCCCAGCAACAGTTATTTTAAAAGGTTGCCTTTCCCCATTGCTCTGCAGTGCCCAGTGCCTCTTTGTCATACATGTATCAAGGATTGATTTGCTTGGTTTGTTTTTCTGGGCCTTGTTTTGCATCATTGGTTTGTTTATCTGTCTTTGTATCAGCACCACACTATTTTAAATATTGTTGCTTTATAAAAAGTCTTGGTATCTATAAGAGAGTATTGACTATTCTTGACCTTTTATACTTTCAAATACATTTTAGAATTAGCTCTTTAAGTTCACACCAAAAAGTTTTAACCTTATGATTTTGACAGAAATTGCATTGAGTCTATCAATCATTTTAAATTTAATTGACATCTTTACAGTGAGTGTTCCAGTCTATTACCATAAGGTTAAGTCTTTATTCAGTGTCTTTCTATAAAGTTATTTAATTTTCTCTGAAGAGATATTTCATCCTTTGTTAGATTTACTATTACAGTTTCATATTTTTTAGCATAATAATGCTTTTGTTAATGATATTTTTAAAATCTTCAACCATAAGTATAATGTTTACTATAAGGATTTTTATGGAAGTCTTCTCTTTCTAGTATGCTAAACAGTTTACTCATGAATGAATTTTATCACCTTTTGTCCCTTATTCTTTTTTGTGGTAAATTTTATTGATATTAAACCAACCTTGAATTCTATGGATAAATGCAACTTGATCCTGATATATTATTCTTTTTATATGTTGTTGGATTTTGTTATTTAGGATGTCCGTATCAGTGTTCATGATTAAGATTGATTCTTAATTTTCCTTTCATATATTATCTTATTGGGTTTAAGTAACAAGATTTTGCAATCCTCATAAATGAACTGAAGAAGTTTCCTTTTTTCTATTCTCTGTTAGAGGTTAATTAATGTTGGAGCTATTTCTTTCTTAAATGGTTGCTAGAACTTACTTCACCAAATAGGTGAAGATATTTGGGCATTGACTTTTCTGTATGGAAAGATTTTGGCATTCATTCCATTTCTTTGTGGTTAAAAAAATCAATGCAATTTATCTATTTCTTAAGTCAGTTTATTATTTAATAATATTTTTCTAGGAATTTCTCCACTTTGACCATATTCCCAAATTCTTGACATAAATTATTCAAAATAGTATCTTTTTAAAGGCTGCAGATCAGTAATATCTTCCTTTTCATTTGTGATTTTGATTAGTTGTGCCTTCTCTGTTTTGAGGTGGATTATATAAAAGTAGTATAAACTACTTATGTCTGATAATGATTTGTGTCAGCTAATTATTATTTATCCACCAATACTAACTAAATTAGATATATCATGAATATTGCAGTCACAATAACTTGTCTAATTTTTTTTCACAATATACCATGTTGATCAATGGTTGGTTTTTCATTTTAGCCATGTAACATGTAACTGAAAAGACAGAATAGTTCACAGACACTAAGAAAGAAGAAAGTTTCAAGAAATAAAGGATAGCCAGTAGTATCTAGGCAAGTTGAAGAAGAGGGCAGATTGGAAGTATTGGAGTTGACAGAAATAGGTCTTATTAACAGTGGTTAATCTCTTAGTCTCATTTAAGACTTCTGACCTTAAGTTGATTTCATAAGACCCTTTTAGTTTCAAAATCCACCAGGCATCAGAAGTATAGTTTTAGAACTCTTAGCCAGAGAAATTGCAATTATACTCTTTTTTTCATTTCTTCAAGTTATTATTTTAAGCTCAAGAGTGAAATTTACTGACAGGAGATTTGGGAAAGCTTTTGTATTTTCAGTTCATCCTATAGATATCATGGCCTAAATCCAGAGTTTTAGCACTTTCATTTTCTAAGAATCCTGAATTACCTTACCTACATCAAAATCTAATTTTTACATGGCACATTTCTAATTTTTCTGATTTGCAATGTGCCTTTAAATTGAGGCCCCATATTGAAGTTACCTGTAGTGCAGTGTAGACTCTTGTGAAAATATTGAGGTAGGTGATCTTGCTTCACATCTGTGGAAATTCAATTTAAATTTAACTTTAAAGATAATTTTATCTTCTTCTTTCACTTCAGGAACTTGTGTCCCTGAAGCCCTGTAAAGCTGCAGAGCTGGTTGCTACACACTTTTCTGAACAGATTGAAACTGTGATTAAGAAACTTCAGGTAAATATTCCAAAAACACACTAAGAGGAAACATATAGTGAAGAGATTATTATTGAATATCCACTTCAGAACTCTTGATTAAAGTAATTTTTTCAATTCATAGTTGCCATTTAATAGCAATTTCTAAACATTGTGTGTGTATTTGGAAGCAGTTGTGTGAATGACCTCTGAATCTGGAAATGAAAGAGTTTGTCCTTGTTTATAACCAACATTAACATCACAGAGAGATTTTTGGAATTATAACGTATACTTACTCTAGAAATCACAATCCACAGAAGACTCCCACCCACCACCCCTTTGCTATAGGAAGTACAGCTGTATTCTCTTTGAGGTTAATGATATCAGATTTTTGTCATTTTCAAATTGAGTTTATGTTGACTATTTAGAATTTTTCTTGGGAAATCTTAACTAGAATACAGGTATATTAATATATTAATGCTGAATATTGAGATGCTCAGTTTGAAGTACTATTTAGTAGGCCTAATAGTCCATTTGCCACTACCACTGAAGTGCTAGTAGTAAATTTTACTCACTACTGTTAGGGCCACAAGTGGTAGAGGTTGGGAATCAATGACAAGGACATGAAGTATAAACCAGTCCTCAAGTGGCAATACTAGTAGAGGAAAGGTATTCAAGATGGAAAACAGAGCAGGGAGTGGGAGGAGCCAGCATGAGATAAAAATATGGGATTCATTCATTTAAACAGTGATTGTGACCCTGCTGTGTTCACAGTATGGTAGACTCTGGGGTGCACAAATAAGAATATAATCTTTTCTTTAATTTTTCCTTATGGAACAGAGAAGCACGTACATAACCACAGTGTGATATATACACCAGACATATGTAAAAAGATGTGGGAACAACAGTGATAGGCTTTGTGAGAAAGTCAGGTAAGGGTTCCCAGATTTGCCTGAACTGGGCCTTGATTGATTGGTCCCATTTTCTAGGCAGATATTGGGAGGGACTTTCTAGATAAAATGGGTTCTGAGTATGTGAAGACTTGAAGACATGAGGCAACATGCATATTCAGGTAATGGTCCTGTCTGTGTGAAGCATGTTGGGGGGGATGACAGTGGAAGAAGCATTAGATTGTAGCTATAAGAGGTATGGTGGAGGGGAGCAGTTAAAGTAGAGAGGCCAGAAAGTAGAGTTTGGGTTCCTATATTGAACAACCTTATACGTAAGCCTAAGAAGTTATACTATATCTTCTGTGCACGGGAAGACTCTGGAGAGACTAGTTAGACCAGTTAGAAGGGGAAAGGTTTGGACAAAAGTTGGTGAGGACCAGGACTAAGTTAGCAGCAGAGAGGAGACAAGTCCAAGATATGTTTGTCAAGTAAGATGTCTGGGGCTCAGACGTGAGTTGGATATGAGGGGCGAGTTAAAAATGTCTCCCAGCCATCAGGCTTGGTTCTCCAGCATGAAGTCTATCCACTCAAGATAAAGACTCATCCATTAATTCAATAAATGTTTATGTACCTGCTGTAGGCCAAAAACTGTCTTCAATGCTGAGGATACAAAAACATGTGAATACATCCCTGTGTTCAGGGAAGAAAATAGATAAAAGGCAATTGCAGATAGTTTGACTGAATGAAGAGAGAACACTGCCCAGGATACTAAGGAGAGTCACCTAATCCACTCTAGTGAGAGGGATGGAAGGACGTTTCTGCTGAAACTACTCTCAACCTACAGAGCTTCTCCCCCTTTAAAGTCAGCAGTTCTGATGATTTTTCTCCCCTATAGTGGTGCTACTGCCATTTAAAACGTTAAGATTATCCATTGTGGGATTTTCTTTCTCCTGTAGTCTTGAAAGATAGTTAGAGGCAGAGAGATCAGATAAATGAATATGCCATTCATTAGACAAACATATAAAAGCTGAAGTGTTGTGGATTTAAAAAAAAGTGACTGTTTGACCATGGACTGTTTGTGGAGTCTTAACACATTTCTTTTAAAGCAGCGAAGTATTTATTGCAGAACTGTGTTGATTTGTGTGAGAATCCCACACAGATTTTATAAAGTACCTTTGCTTTTGATGGCAAGAAATATGCCTCTGAGAAATTGTTTTCAGAATTCTTGAAATGAAAAATAGGCCAGATTACATTATAACCAGAAGGAAAGTCATGTAAAATAAGCCAAAGTGATAGGCCAGGGAATAGCTAGAAAATCAAAGACTGCTAAGTACATTTAAAATGTCATATTCTAAATGACATTAAGTCTTTTCAGTTTTGAGAGTCCCCTGCTTTTTATAGGTGAAGTTTGAATGAGCCAAAAAAGAAAGAAAAAAGGAAAACTGAACTACAATAATTTTTGCTTAGCTTTCCCAAGAACTTTGAAACATGATTTATTTTCAGATTCATCTCATTTAATTCTCTAAGGTTCATCTCATTTAATTCTCACCTCTACCATTGCAAAAGGCAAAGAAGATACTGTTCTCCTTTTCACATAAATAAACTGAATTGCTGAGAGAGTCAGTGACTTACACAGTCACATGGCTACAAAATGGAAGAAACAAAACTCAAGTATATTAATTGCTAACATGTTGCAGTTTGCCATCTCTTCTGTAGTTGGTTTGGGGAGTTAATGAGCTTCTTTAGTGGTGGTTGCTATTTGGAGCTGAAATTCCCACCTTTCCTGTATAGGTTAGTTACCTCCGAGCAGGCCACTATCACAGGAAGACCAGGTAAGGCAGTGGAAAACCCATCAGTGCAGCCAGGAGCATCAGCAGAGCGGTTCAGAGCACCTGCCATTCCAAGGGTCCTTGGGCTAGGAACCACTAAGGGATTTGTCTCAGTGGAGTGTTTTTTGGGGGTAATAGCAATGTTTTTGTGCTTCTGCACTCAAAATTAAATGTGTGACAGTGATTAGAATACTGAGAGGAAAAGTACTGCCAAATAATTCTTTAGAATTTCTTAGATCTGTATGGAGGGCTTAATGGAAACTTACGCATTTTAAAGGGATATTCTAGAGCTGTTCCTTACCATGGCATAGTTTAAAGAATTTGTTTTAATATTTAATTATATTTTTTATTATTTTTCTGTTCAGAACCAGGTTTTGCTTTTCAAGTTTTTGAGGAGTCTTCTTGACCCAAGGTATGTTAATAATCTTTAGTTTTTCATAATACATTGATGAGAAATCAGAGAAAATAGATTGAAGTTGAGAAACTAGCCCATGGTATCCAAATAGTACAATGAGCTCTGGATTTTTTAAATTGTAATGAGAGTAACAGTTACATAGATTATACCAAATACATGATCTGGTAATACATTATATCTTGAGAGAATACTTTTCTTTCCATTTGAACATGAACACACACAGTGAGTTGTTGTTGATGTAAATAAAATAATGGAGCTGTGTCATGAGAACATGTTTCAGGAAGAATTTGGTGACCATGTAGCATCCCCTTTCTAACTAGCTCAACTCCTTCCTATTTTTTATTCAGTGCTGTAGATTGGTGCTTTACTTTTCTATGTAAACACCTAGTTCCCAGCCCATCTGTGAATTCACTACCTTATAAAATCTCCTTTGAAGTGTTCAGTTTTAAACAACTTTTCCTGGCAGTGGAAGAAAAAGTTTAAATTTTTTTTGAAATGATACTGAAGTACTCATCAAATAAAATCTAACCCAAAGAGCTTATGAAATTATCAGTGGATTTGTAAGATAAGAGTTCTGCATGTTATATCTTTATGTTTTGTTGTGTCTGAGTGGAATTCATTGGGAGTTGAGTGGAATAATATTTAACATTCTTTAAGACAGTCACTCTTAACCAGAAATGTGTGTCAGAATCACCTCAGAAACTTAAAAAATACAGATGCCTGGGCCCAACACCACAGAGTTATTGTGGGTAGGGATATTTTCAATGTATCCTGATGAGACCAAATAAAGGCAAGGGTAGGAAGTTGGGTATTATAGGCAGTTACCATGTTTATTCTCATATGGTCACAACTTGGTACATTCCATTGGCTCGAATGCGCTCACCCAGCCAGCTACAGCTTCTGTTCCCCAGCATGAATTTAATCCTGGAGGAGCTTGGGGGCTCTGTGGCTCTCTCCTGACTCCCCACCCCTTGCTCTGGGAGGAATTTTGTGGGCAGTTCTCTGGTGACTGGTGGATGCCTGACCAATTACATACCTCTTCACCCCTCCCCTGGGCCCATACTCCTGTGACTGACCAGTGGCTCTGTCACTGGCAAACATCCCATACATGTGCAGACAGGCTCTTAATAACAATGGGCGCCATTAGGGCCAGGTGGGGATCCTGGTCAGAAAGTTCCATTTTCCCCACAATGACATAGCTTTCATGTCAGATGTAGAAGCTTTTAAGTTACATTATAATGTACACTAACCATTGAAAACAGTCACTTCAGTGATAATAGCAGTTTTGGTTATTCCAGTATTCTGTGCTACTTTTAAGTACAAAAATTTAGTAATTTTGTTGATTGTAATAAGTTTTTAAAATGCCAGTCATTTATATCTTGAGCAAGCTATGCTGCATTTAAATTCAGAGTCGTACAGGTGTGCATGTTCAGGTGGTTAGAAAAGCAATCTGACTACTTTCTGCATTTTTGTCCAAGACCTTTCCAAAGTATCTGTGTTTTAATTCCCTGTTCTTGGAATATTACGGAGGCTAGACAACTTTTTTTCTTTTTTATTGAAGTATTGTTGATATACAGTCTTACACTGGTTTCAAATGTACAACACAGTGGTTTAACAGTTACCCATATTATTAAATCCTCACTCCCACTAGGGCAGCTACTATCTGGCTAGACATCTTTTTTAAATGCCTATGAATCATTTGTACTTCCCTCAGCTGGTCTTGGCCCCCATCCACATCTAGAACTAACTGATGGAGGGATCTTAGAATTGGACTTGGGGATCAGAAGGGAGAAAGAGAGCTGGGAAAAGAGTGGGAGAGCTGGGGGAGGGCATGTGTAGGAGGGGAGGAAGGAGGGGTGCCCAGCTTCTTCTCCAGAGCCTTTGCCCCTTTTCCATGGCAGGATTCCTTCTGTCCCTCCAGTGTCCAGTGTCAGGTCCAGTCTCTCAGGGCCTGACTCCTCTTCCCCTGGGATAATTTGTTCTGACCAAGTTCTTTCCCCACAACCATCCTACCTGGAAAGACTCAAGCTGGGAAAACAGGAAGTTCAGCTTTAAGCTTGGCCTTTTCTCACATGTGATAAAATATTGAAGAAGATGGTGACCAAATCTTACTTAAAAAAAGAAAAACAATTAGGTACTGTGCATATTAGTTCAGTCACTTGCTCAGAATGACTGATTTCCTGTCACATTTTAGCCTTTTTAAATGAGTATGCCTGTTAACTAACTTGAAAAAAAAAAAGATTTAAGTCTTGTCAGGTGCTGAGAAAACTGAAGTAGGAAACTAAGGGAGCATGGAAAAGATACCTGGAGGCAAAAGAACAAGAACACGTAGCTTGCCTAGCAATTTTCACTGGCAGACAACTCAGACTGATTTGCCTTTGATTCCTCCATTTCTGTTCTTTTTAAGCAATAGATTTTCTTTTAACATCCAAGTTTTCCCCCCATGAAGCTCCTATAGAAGCATTATGGAAAGTAGAGAAAATGAAAAGAAAACAGTTATTCTGCGATGGAGACTTCTTGTATTTGTGTGTCATATCAGGATGTTGCTTTTTTTTGCTTTTGCCCCACATACCTGAGTTAATAGGATCCTCATTCTTGTATATATAGTTTATGCATATTCGATTTAACATTCACATGTATTCACTGAGTTATTTTTGAGGAGGGGTAGCCCTTTATTTTGTCAACAGAATTTTTAAAGGAATAAATCATGTAGTTGAATTCTTATGTTTATTGCTCTGTTTTCTTTATCCAATTTCTTTTAAGTTATCTCTGCTATGCAAATAATATCCTCAGTAGAATTAATTGACCTACAAAGATATTGGTGGCATCTGTACCTAGAAGGATTAGGTAGTTTTGTGGGGAGGCAGGCTAATCCTTCAGAAGCGAATTACATGCCTGAATTCAGGCCAACAGCTAGGGGAGAAAGGATTTGCACCCTCTTCCCCATTCTCCCCTTTGAGACAGCTGCTCCCTGAACTCCCGCCCCACACCCACTCCCTGGGTGCATTCCTGCTGGCCATGAATTCTCACAGGAGTTCTCCTAATACATTTACATCCACATGCAGGTCTTTTGTGCAGTCAGGATGCTTGAATGATAATACAAAAAGACACTGATGGGTTTTGTAGGGCTATGAGCTGCATAAAGAATAAAGAGAATGTGCAAGTTTATTTATATTCACAATATTTTCCTCAGCATGATTTTCTTGGTAATGTTGATTTAGCCTTTGTAGCAATGTCCTGGAGGCCTCTGAAATATATGGTATGATTTTCTTGTAGGAAAAAACCCACACATGAAATGTCGCATTGTATTTCTAAGTCTTTAATCAAAATAAAAATTGAACATTGCTAAAAAAAAAGAGTGAGTAACCTTGCCAAGGAGCAAGACATACATTGTGGAAATGGTTATACATTAGATTCAAGTTGAATTTGTCAGTATTTCTGTGGTTTATTTTGAAGGGACATTTAAGATATTGACACTCAGTGTTGAAATAGTGTATTTCAAAGTTAAAATGAAACATTAGAACATTATGTATGTTCGTGACCTTTCACATATGAAAACATATTTCCACCTCAGTGAGTGCCATCAGCTTGGCTAGGGTCACTACTAGATAGCCTGTCTTTGGTTAGTATTTTGCCAGAAGCTCAGATTCAACCTTTTAAATCCTAACATATCATCATCTCTTAATCTCTAGACCTTTCAGATAGATAGATAGATAAATAAAAAAGAAAAAAATAGCTTACATGCATTTATTTCTTTATTCCTTTATTCAATAATTCTTCATAATGAGATAGGTGTCTACTAAGTGTAAGGTAAAATCGAGCCAAAATGACTGGGCGAGGAGGCAACAAATGAGCCAAAAGTTTAATAGGGCACAATCCCAGGCGATGTTCACCGGTCTGGTTAGTCACAGGCTGGAGAAGTTGCACCCAACAGGGCAGGCAGTGAGTTTATAAAGAAGTTAGGGGGAGGGAGAGCATAGGTCTACAGTGGCGCGAGGATTGGCTAGCCTAAGGCACGTGTCATTGGCCTTTACAATAGACAAAGGACTAGAAAGTTACTACTTCTTTTCCAGGTTGGGAGGGGGCAGCAGCCGGGAATTTTGGCACGTCATCAGGCCGGAATCTGTTGGTCTCTTTCCCTTACTAGGCCGGGGTTGGGGGCTTTGCTGCCCCCTTTCCTTATTTGGTGAGGCCTGAGCTAGTCTGACGTGCTCACCCCTCCCTCCGGTGCCTCCAGCCTTACACCAAGTATTGTACTAGAGGTCGAAGTGGTTAAAGTCATACTTACATTTAACAATTTGCTAACTACAGCCTGCTAAACACTGTGACAGGCATGGGAGATCAAATGGTGATTAAACTGGGGCCCTGCTTTCAGATAATTTATATTGTAATAGTGGAAGCAGACAGGTAAGCAGACAATTAATGTGGGTGTCTTAAATACAATCTTGAGAGTAATAATGAATATTTCTCTTTACCTTACCCACCCCGCGTCACCTTCTCAGCCACACCACGCAGAACCAGTCTTCATGATCTGCCTCTTGGATGTCTCTTACATGCGCGTCCTCCTCTTGTCTTCCCTCCACTGCCTGTGTTCAGGCACTCAGCATCCCTCTCCCGGTGTCTCTTGCTGGTCTCCTAACCAGCCTTCCTAATTATTTTGTTTTCATTTCAAACCGAAAATAATGCTATGTTCTGCTTCCCCTTCTCAAAGTTCTTTCAGCCCCCATTACCCAAGGAACACCCAAACTCCTCATGTTGCATCATGCTGAAGCCAGGGTTCTTGTTCGCTGAGTCGAAGAATGAACTTGGTGAACAGACAAGGCAGGAGATTTACAGAGTTTTTACTCAGTTACAGAGAGAGAGAGAGCTTTATTCAGAATAAGAGAAAGTATGGAACTCTCTGCAGGTGCAGGGAGGGGCAGGTTGCCTCTTGGGGTCTCAGTGTCTAGGGTTTTATGCCTGCTGCAGGGCGTTTTCTATAGATGCAGCCAGAATGC